ATTTTTATTTACCTGATGGTTTATATTATTGTCATATTGTAGTCTCCTTCGTGTTTTGACATAGTTGTTATCGATGATTTGGTCGGAAACCTATCAATGAAATTTTTTACCATTGTTTATTGTTCATATTTTGACTGTCGATGGTTTAAAATTGTTTCGTAAGCTTACCCTTTTTCTCAATGTCTTCGCAGTCGGCGTTTCATCTTTCGCCGTTAACTTTGCGTCCGCATTCTGTTGACATTTGTGGCACCATCTTGTGCCAGGTTTATATTCATTTTTCTTTTCACCAGCTGTGTCCAAAATTCTAAACATTCGTGTTGGAATTGGATGTTTGTGGAGTGTTTTGCTGTGTCCCCACGTCGAAGGACAGGAGCACCGTCGATCGCTTTTCATAACTTTGTTTTTATGAAAAATACATGTTTTCTCCTTCACTTACACCAGCAGCACGAGCAAGATTGATGTTACAAGGACTGACATGACCATAGCATTGCTTTCTTCTAGTTTGCGTCGAAAAAACGCATTTTTTATCAMCAACCGAGCCTACATTGTTGACAAATTGAGACAATGCCAAAATGCAAATTAGCCATGCTGGATGTCGTCGGGCCGCGAGTGGCGGCATTTTTAAATGATTATTTTTGCTTTGTATAAACAAAAGTTTTTTTGTATAAATCAGTAGTGTATCACAATCGAAATTATCTTGCTATTGCGAAAAGGACAACCTTAAGTTTTCAGTATTTTTCTTAAGTTTTGCGATTTTGTTTAACAGATCAAAAACAGTTTTCCGTGTTTGATACTCTGATCAAAACACGCGGGATGTTGGGAGAACACGAGAGGAGCGTAGGAAACCACGACGCGTAGCGGAGTGGTTTCCAGCTTCTCGAGTGTTCTCCTAACATCCCAAGTGTTTTGATCAGAGTATCAAACACAGAAAACTGTTTTTGATTTTGTTTTATAAAATAACAAACGCGCGAAAAGATCGAAAAAAAGCAAAGTCTAAGTAAATTCTCCCTACGTGCCGTCTTATTCAAACTGACCAATGAGTGCGTGCGATAGATTAAAAATGACGACAGCGTGTTTTGATACTCTCATCAAACATGGTTTTCGACCAATCATAGCGCGCGTAGTATCCCAATTATTTTATAAAAAATAATCAAAACACCGGCATCAAAAAATATAAGTTGCCTTTAGTTACGCTACGCCATCTCCGAGCGTGCGCAGTGCGTTTTTCACCAGTGTCGAATGATTCCTGGAATAAAACACACAGCCCGCCTTTGAAATTGAAAACAGAGAAAGCGTTTTCAAATAGATCTTCTTCCAATTATACTCTGGTTTGTACTCAGTTGACTCCATCGAAGTCGTAGTCGTCTTTCGTATTAATTGAAGTTCAGACAATTAATTCATCACAGAATTCGCTTCAGAATTCAACAAAATAGCGAAGAACTAGGTGTTAAAATGAAAAAATTAAAAGGACGATTACTCATCTTACTAGATAAATTGAGTATTTAAAATTTTTAATCGAACGAAATATTTAGAGTCTTTGAGAATGTGAACAAGCATAAGGAGGGCACAGGAAAACCAATCTTCGAAAAGTGCAACAAGTATCCACGAGTTCGCCAAAGGGCGTTTGATTTTAAATTATACTGCTAAAATTCCTAAAGGCAAATTTGCTGTGGAAAAGGAACTGCTCAAAAACAAAATACCAAACGATAGGGCAAGCTGTGACGTGGGGTGTTTTTCCCGATGACTGGGATGGGGCGGACTAGCTCGTCCCACCGTACACACACGTAGGCTTTTTTTTTTCTTCTGGTCTTTTATTCGCTCGGTTGTCTTCTTCACTCGTCTAACTATTGGTCTAACCTTAATCTCAAGCAAACCATTAGGATTGACATTTTGGTTCCGAGAACACGTTTCTTGCTCACCGATCAATTGATACTGTTTAACTCTGACACGCGTCTCCGTTCTCCCCTGCGACATGTGGAACCAAAATGTCGAGCCTATTCATGTAATCCTAGAAATAACACTCAGAGCAAATAGACCTACTTTTCTTAATTGATTAATTGATTCCTACTTAAGTTTCGTGCTTGATAATCTGTTTTCTATGATGATCTACAATAATCAAACTTGACAAACATTTTGTCCTATGAAAAAGCCCGTTACAAAGTTAAACCTTCGGACCCAACGATGCATTTTTTTAATAGAGCAGATGCCCTTTTAAATATATAACATTCTACAAAAAACGCAAGTCAATTAAATACTCACTCATAGCAGTCCATATAAATTCTTTACTGAAGAGTAATAGATCAATACCTCAATACCTCACTATAGGATTTGGAATGGAATGGATCGAGTGCATTGATTATACGGATGTTAACAATTCTGTACCGTGATCGAGCGGCGTGCCGCAATCAGTTTATCACTCAGGAAATCTACTCTATGGCCCTTATAAATGAAGGTTAAAGTGACGCTACTGTACGGGCTAACTCCTTTGTTTTGGATGACCATTGAGCGAGGCGGAAAAAGACGTCGCCAGCACTGGGGTCACTCTACCTACTACTCTATCTAGATAATGTTTCGCGTTTCTGTAACCCAGATAAACTTTGGGTGTGTTTAGGCCATCATGAGTAACGTTTACGAGACGATGAAAGGCAGACTCATACTTCTGGACGTTGCCATAGAAACATCAAAACAGACTGCTAAACCAGATGTTGTTAAGGAACTTGGAATGCTATATTTCCATCAGCAGGGAATTTATTCAAACATGCATGGAACTTGGGGTATTTACACGTAAGAAAACGACCCGGCTTGTAACGACTCCAACTAGACCCCATACCCCCAACTTGAAGCCAGCTTTGTGAGTGTTTCAACACATCCAATCCGTACCGATTGCGGGCATAGAGGCCTGGGGAGAACATAGAGTTAATCCAGTAGCCGTTGATTAGGACCTTGGTGAAGTAGACAGGATCTCGAAGCTCAGGGGGAAGATACAAAAATCCAGACAATGTTGGCCATCCATTTATTTCAGTATAAATATCTGGACTGTGAAACATTAAATACCCTTTGCTGTTTTTTAATATCTGTCCGTTTGCGTCCCACTTTGGTGCTGAATACGCATTCAAGTTGAACCCCTTTTGTCGAAAGTAATCCTGGAACTTTCTAAGATTGGTCATATTTTGGGATAACAGTGACATATCGCCATCTAAATCCCAAGGAATGTAACCACTCATCTTCACAGCACCCAGCACTGAGCCTGCGTCGAGCTCGTACAAGATGTTATGCTCCACACAGAAGTTCTGAAAGAAGTTCATAGCTCTCCCATACTGTTCAAGACAACAATATGGCATAAGAGCATACTTAGTCACACTAGTTCGACACTTGTAGGAAATTTCTTGGCAAGAGAAAGCATGTTTTATGCCTCCTGGGAGAAGAATTCTAATGAATTCCCATTTTGCGGAAAAGTAACGCCATACTTCTCTGTTCCTCTGCTTTGTTTCAGCTATTCGTTCGTTGGTGATATACATAGCATCGGGACAGTTCATAGTCTGATATCCCGTGTCGAGCACCTTTAAAAAGAAATCTTCAAACACAACCTCTTTGGGTAGTTTTTCTCCAAATTCAGCGGATTTCAGGATTTTTGTTTTGGCCACAAATGGGCCCTCCAAGTCATCGCAGAACATACAAGATCGAGAAGAATAGTGATATCCTTCCGTATATTCTAGAACGTAGTTTTTCTTTTTTATCTGGCGACATCCAACCTTCCAGTGCCCAGTCCAGTTGCGAAACGACCCTCCAACCACCCCAACGTAGTCCATTTCACTTATCATACGAATTTGTCTCCTCACACGGACCCACCACGCGAAATGAACCACATCGCGCGCGACAAGGGTGTAAGGCGTGGTAACCTTGGCAACCAATTTATTCCAAATCTTCCCCATTGTGCTCCTTTCTTCGACAGTAATAGCAGTCACGTTTGGAAACTGCTCGGCCATGTCTTTAATTTTTGTGTTTTTTGGTGCTATGTACACCTGGACGCCTGGGTATGTCTTGTTTATCCCATCTAGAACCAGCCCGATTTTGTCCTCGTACGGTTCAGGATAGTCCACAGTGTTAAGTAAGATGGTCAGGACTTGCGGCAATGGCTTGACGTTGGAACAGTTTTGTGTGACCCAGCCGAACTGAAAGAAAGGATATCCCTTCTTCTCGCCGAGATATTGCTCTGGACACACATCAAGGGTGTCGTTAAGGTCGATAGGATAGGTTTCCTTCTCTACTTCAATAATTCTGCTGTATTTGAAGTTTCGGTCGAGTTCTTCCAATATACCTTCCAGCTTTAAAAGCGTATGTTCTGGAGGTTTGACATTTTGATCGAGAGAATTCTTCAAGTCTCGGTGTATTTCACTCAGCTTCATGCTTAAGTCTCTTTTGAACGGTAGCAGGTCTGTGTAACGTGGTGGGCAGGGGGGAGTTCCAAAGCTAATTGAATCGAGCAGGAGAGAGGTGAACAACGTTACCAAGATAATGCATGCGCAGAAAAGAATAAACAATATGCGACGATTAAAGGTTTTGCTTGAAGCGGGAAGAGACGGTTTCATTTTGGCTATCTGAATCTGCAAAAGAAAAAATAAATCAATATATTTGAATGAAATTTTTTCTTAATTGCCAAAAAATGTATAATAGTCAAAGGACCTGTTCGTCGGCATTTATAACATCCATACAGTTATTCAGCGATTTTAAAATGACACGCAATCTATGAATAAGATCCCTTGAAAGTTAGGCCTAGGGCAAACGTCAAACTTTCCATGCACCGAACTCATTAAAAACAATGGATATCAGGTGATAATGAGGCGACATTCTTTGATGTAATTAAGTTCGGTGCATGGAAAGTTCGACGTTCGCCCTAGGCCTAAGGAACTTGTTGAATATCCTTTTGAAAAATACTTGTCAAGTATTTCGAATTGCATTTAGGGACTTGTCAGAAATTAGCAGGGGGGAGGGGGATGGAAACATGGGGAGGGTCATAACTTTTTAAGACCCCAAAAAAAGGAGGATCAAGAAAAAATGGGCTGCTTAAAGGGGAGGGTCGTTCAAATTTATGCTTGAGCTCATACAGTTGTTGGTGCACAGTATAAACAGATAAGAAAAATTAGGGCTATATTCGGTTCAAATAACCACAACAACAACAAAGCATATCAGATGTATAAACTGTGAAGTACTATTTAAAATAGATTAACCTGTATCAAATGTCCTAAAAATGTCTTAGATTATGAATATATTTGTTTTTGCTTTAATAGAGTTTTGAGCTTTCCTCATAATCACTATTTTCAGCATCAGCATCAGCATCACCATCAGCACTGCTATGAGCATCATCATCATCATTTATGTCATCAGAATTAATAGCGGGAGCTCCCGCGCGGGCCACCATACTTAAGAAAAAATGATAAACCATCGAGTTGATTTTTCATGGCTTGGCTGACGTCACTTCCGTCCGTCCGTGTACACAACACAGGAATCCCGCTTGATGTCAAAGCAAAACTACTCACAAATGCGGCTCTCAA